ATCAAGGACAATCTGACAGTGCATTTGGTGATAAAGGCCCCAACGCGCACCAATGAGACACCGGCACGTGCGCCGGCCGATGTGCGCCAAACACCGTTTGGCCTTAATCAGTTTGGCGGCCTGGCCGGCATGGAGGCACTTGGCGCCGGTTCGAATACGTTTATGGATCTGCAGGCCCGCATGCAGAATGAGCTGCTAAATAATGGAGATATGTTGCGTTCGCTGATGGATAATCCGTTGGTGCAGCAAATGATGAACAATCCGGAGACAATGCGTCAGTTGATAACATCAAATCCGCAAATGCAGGATCTGATGCAACGCAATCCGGAGATATCACATATGCTTAACAATCCCGATTTGTTGCGTCAAACCATGGAGCTGGCACGCAATCCATCCATGCTCCAGGAGCTGATGCGTTCGCATGATCGTGCCATGTCCAATCTAGAATCGGTTCCGGGCGGCTACAGTGCCCTACAGCGCATCTATCGTGATATACAGGAACCAATGATGAATGCGGCCACCGAATCCTTTGGTCGCAATCCGTTTGCTGGCCTCGTCGAGGGCGGCGGCGTCGGAGCAACAGCTGGCGTTAATCCACAGCAGGGCACCGAGAATCGCAATCCGTTGCCAAATCCGTGGGGTGGCTCCGGTAATCGTACCGGCAACAATACCCAGAGCAACAATACTGGCCCAAATAATCGCGCCGGCGATCAGCCGCCTAACAATGTACTCAACACACCGGCCATGCGCAGTCTGCTCCAACAGATGGCTGATAATCCGGCACTGATGCAGAATCTATTGAATGCGCCGTATACGCGCTCAATGATGGAGTCCATGTCGCAGGATCCGGATATGGCGTCACGCCTGCTGAGCAGCAGCCCGCTGCTATCGAACAATCCACAGCTGCAGGATCAGGTGCGCCAAATGATGCCACAGTTTATGGCCCAAATGCAGAATCCGGATGTCATGAATATGCTTACCAATCCGGAGGCGATCAATGCCATACTACAGATCCAACAGGGCATGGAACAGCTGCGCACCGCTGCACCCAATCTGGTCGGCACACTGGGCATACCACCACCACCGCCGGGCGTTAACAATGTTGCCGATCCGGCCAGCGGCGATGGCACCGCCGCCACAGCTGCGACCACCAACAATGCCACGCCCAATAATATAGCTGCACCGAATTCGAATGCCACGAACGCAGCGACGCCAACTTTGGCGCCTGGCGGCGGACCAAATGCGCAGCTCTTCAACGATTTCATGATGCGCATGCTCAACGGCATGTCCAACAATGCGGACAGCACGCAGCCGCCGGAGGTGCGCTATCAATCGCAGCTGGAGCAGCTGGCCGCCATGGGTTTTGTTAATCGCGAGGCCAATTTGCAGGGTACGAACACAAATATATCTATAGCTCCTTATGAGGCCCTTGCAGCACATATCATATATAAGCCTGAACCGAGTCCATGTAGCCGTTCGTCTGTCCAGACATTGGACCATCTCATCTAGCTGTCGTAACTGAGATTTACCATGATATATTCTGACCAAACTAAGCTATTTTATTGTCTTACAGTCTCACAGTCATAGATGTCGTCTTATATGGGAAAAATCGATCGGAACAACTTTCCGGATGCTTCCCTCTTGCCCAACTACTGCACATTTATATAGTATGTGGACAGTTCTTTCGTCCTTACTTCAAGCAGAGCCTAGTCTTAGCGTCAGGAAAGGGAAATGTGGATAGATCTATTATCTTGCTTCAAGCAGAGCTTCATTTGACCAGATGCTTTCCCTTTGCCCAACTACTGGACATTTATATAGTATGCGGACAGTTCTTTCTTCCTTACTTCAAGCAGAGGCTAGTCTCAGCGTCAGGAGCGGTGAACTTCCAGATGCTTCCCAACAACTGGCTGGAGCTTAACATAGAATGTGGATAGTTCTTTTGTCATTCTTCAAGTAGAGCTTCATTTGCCCAGATGCTTCCCCCTTTCCCAGCATTTAGCTGGACACTTATATAGAATGTGAATAGTTCCCCCAAGCAGAGACTAGTCTCAGCGACAGAAGAGGAATACTTTTTCTAAGATCATTTTGTCTAATGAAATGTAATCCTATAGTCTAGTCAGAGTCCCAGAGGTTTTCTGATTGAGGACTTACGCATTCTAATTAGAAATGTATGTGTCTGCAAGGGTATATCTTATTCATTGAAATCGACATGTTTATATATCTTGTTTTGTTTTTTTCTTCTAATCCTTTAGCGCTAATTGCCACGTTCGGGGATATTAATGCGGCCGTGGAACGCCTCTTGTCGCTGAATCAGTTGTCCCTGAGTTAACACTGTTAAGGCGCACGCCTTACGTACACGCCAAACGCAAATATCGTCTATATATATACATATATATATATATATATATACGTTCATATATATGCATGCATGCTATGTGTACATGTATATATATGCGTATACAAAATATTAACTGCTCTATCGCAATTGTTAAACCTGATGCACATGCGCCCCGCCCCTATAAAAAAAAACAAAACAAAAAACAACAAACCCCAATCGGGGCGCTTGGCTCAGTCGAAAAGTCAACGCTGCTGTTTGCTGATAAACCTTGACACACACACACACACGCACACACACACGAACACACACACCTAGCCTAAGCGGAGCAGATGAAGAAAATTCGCCTGGAAGCCTATAAGCTACACTCATACACTCACACACACACACACACACACGTTTGCTTCTAAATTTCCACACACAAAAAAAAAAACAAAAAACCAAAAAAAATATATATATATATACAAATAATATTTACAAAAAAAAAAACAAAAAAAAAACACATGCCAAAGTCTGGGGCAGAGTATTCAACAGTCGGATATTGATAATATAACAATTTTTGTTGTAGATAACAATTGATGTGCAAAATGTAAAACTTAACAAAAAAAAACAAAGAAACAAAAAAGGCGGTACAACTTGAATGCATATATATAGTATATAGTATATAGTATATATATATTGGGGCACACACACAGACACACACACGCGCACACATTCACAGGAGCAGAAGGAACCGCAGAAACAACTCGTCGCACGTTTTTGTTTTTTTTTTAATTCATTTTTGTTATGCAAAAGAAAATATGCTTAACTATAAATCTATATATATGCATACATATATATATATATATATATTTATTTTTTTAATAACTATAACTAAACTTTGTTTACGTTTAAAGCAAACGTTTTGTATTTGTTAATGTAAATTTGCTAACGAGGCAAGAAATATGTAAAATAACGAAGCATATATTTAACTATATATATATATGTGTGTGTGTGTGTGTCTATAAAGCCCGTACATCTATATATATATGTGTGTGTGTGTGTATATATACATGCATATATTGTTTGCGTCTGGCGTTACTTGCGGGCAGTTTTGGAATGCATTGGATGCTATATTACAAAAATTGAGCTTTTTATTTTATGCTAAAAAACAAACACATACATGTATGTGTGTACATATATATATATATACGTGTGTGTGTGTATATATACATATATCAAATATTCCACGGTGTTACAAAAGAAAACAAAAAATACAAAAAGACGTAACTATTTGAAATTCCTTAGTACCAAAAAAAAAAAAAAAAAACAAGAAAAAAACAACAAGAAAACAGTTTCTTTTATGTAATAATGTGGGTAGTGGGAGGGGGGGGGGGTGGGGTGGGGCAGCGTTATATATATATGTACTTTTTTTTTTGTGTGGGTGAGCTTAAAGTTGCGCGTGTTCCTTTTAACATAAACAAAACTCTACATATATTATATATATAAACATATATATGGGGGAAACTTGGCAAAGGACGCCGCACATAAGATACAAACAAATAATAATAATAATAATGATTAAAAACAAAAACTTATTCGTTAGATAAACTACGTTTACGGATTTCTGTATGAAACGCTAAAGAGTAAATAAAATAAATGTAAATGGTCACGTTTTTAAAAATTCCAAAAATAAAAATAATAAACTTATAACTATATGAGTATGGAACCGAAAAAACCAAATGCTGTTGGTTCGGTTCAGGCTGCGAACCAGTGCCTCGCAGTTGGGTTCGGTTCAGGCTGCGAACCACTGCCTCGCAGTTGGGTTCGGTTCAGGCTGCGAACCAGTGCCTCGCAGTTGGGTTCGGTTCAGGCTGCGAACCAGTGCCTCGCTGTTGGGTTCGGTTCAGGCTGCGAACCAGTGCCTCGCTGTTGGGTTCGGTTCAGGCTGCGAACCAGTGCCTCGCAGTTGGGTTCGGTTCAGGCTGCGAACCAGTGCCTCGCAGTTGGGTTCGGTTCAGGCTGAACTTGAACTTGGCACTTCATGAATCTAGATTTTAATCTGAACTTTGTTTCGTCGCATGGTAGAAGACCGCGTATATGTATATTATAGATAAGCAGCTAAATTTGTAGCTTGGCTTGGCCTTAACACTAAAGCAAACCGCCTAAAAAGGAATCTCGACTCTGCGTAGATCTATTTACTAGAATGGAACCGTTTGAATCAACGGATTTCGAAATTGTCAGCGATTTCCATGTAATCAGTCTCCAGATAGTCAAACTCTTCAGAGTCGAATAACAGTCTAAAGGGCGTTGCCACCCGGTTAGAAAAAACCTTATTGTACAGTTCAGTAACGGATTTTTTGGAGCATTGTGAACGAAACTCCGGTTTTGAGAAGCACAGCAAAGCGAAAGAGACAGGCATATAACTAAATAGATTAGAGTAGGATAGAAATAGTCTTAAAATGAATTGCTTAAAGCATAACAAGCACAGTTCGTTTTTGCTGAAGATTTGGCCGAAGACAGAATACTCTAGGTACTGAAAGACAACCAAAGAGTGCACATTCTATCTGTCTGCGCGTTTCGTGACAAACTTCTGAATTGGAATAAAAAAAAAAAAGGCCCCCATCCTAGGAGCCCTAGTATGCTTTGTGCCATGCTTTGTGTGTCGGAATGCTCACAATTGTTTTAGTCTCCGGTCTTTCGTCAACTTGAACATTTTTAAAAACGTATTTTTTTTTTAAAACTTTCAAAAATTCGCCCCAAAATATTCGGCAAGTGCTTATAAATTTTCAATGTCTTCGTTTACGAGGGAGTTGTGTGATCTTTGCCGGCGAATCAAGATTCGGGTTAAGCACAGGATCTCCGAGTTGAATGCTAAGAAGGACGCTTTGTAAGTTCTCGTTCCTGCCTGGCCCTCTATACCCTGTACATCAATTCTTGAACAGCATCGACAGGCGAGTCGAACAGGCCATGTCAGTCTGTCGCGTCGAACTTAGAGATAACAAGAGCAAGTATATGTATATATATTTCGATATCAAGAAACCTGTCTGTATATATCTATAACATGTAGTTAAAGATAGCTTGGGTACAGGGCATCTGCTAGTCGGGCACTTTTGACTAGAGCACACTCTTTATTGTTAAATTTATGCCCTGATTTCAAACGTTTCTTGTTTATTGAATTCGGCAACAAAACTTAGTGTAATGCCAGCGTTAGGGGCTTATAGCTATTGACATGGTATACACAGAGAGAAATACATGACCACATGCTTTGAATTGAATTGGCAAATATAATCATTCAAATTTACATGGTATACACTGAGACAAGTACATACAGTGAATTGAATTGACATGGTGTACATAGATACACTGAGATAAATACAGTTGACTGAATTTTTACATCTTCTACATAGATACACTGAGACAAATAGTAACAGCGATTTGAATTGACACAGACATGTGGTTTATCGAAATATACAGGGTATAAAGTATATATAGATACAGTGAACCGAATCGTGACGGCATGCACAGATACACTGAAACAAAATACGTACACGCTTACATTGAATTGCTTTTAAATATGACGAAAATGACAACAATTCGCAATATTTTTTGGGCTAAGTCTTGTTTGGAGCTCGTTAGAGTTCCTCAAAGAAGGCGACGCGCGCCTTGGTCGAACCGGATTTAAGCTTCTTCAGCGTTGAATATTTATTCTCGCCGGCCTTGATCTGCGCCTCGCTGAGTATGTCCAGATTGCTCTGGTTCTGTTCGATCTTGTGTGGTGCTATCTCGCTGCGCAACGTTTGCAGCTGGTTCTGCACCTGTTTCTTGGACTTGCGCAGATACTCGAGATGGCTGCGCTCCATTTCGTTGGTGATCTGCTCCATTTCGTTGTCGGTGAGTATGAATTCCTTGGGCTCAAAATCATCTGAAATGCCGCTCGAATTATCGCCCATCACAATATAATGGGATGCGGATGTGGTTAGCTCGGCGCCGCCAGCCGTTTCCATATCATTTGTGGAGCTGCTCGTCGTCAGCGATGCTGTGCTAATTGCCGCTATGCTGGAGGCATTGTTGACGTTCGCCTGGGATACGGTCGATGCGGTTAGCAGGCTGTCTGTCGATGATTTGCGACCGCTGTTGAGAAAGTTGAGCAGACGGGCGGTGGCCTCGCGTTCCGCCATTTTGGCACAGATCAGCTCCTTCTTGAGCTTCTCCGTTTCGGCCTCGCGCTTATCGTTCTCGACGGTCAGCTGAAGCATATAGAAATCGGCGTCGCGTATCTTCTTTTCCAGATCGTGCTTCTCGCGCTCCACCTTCATTTGGCGCTCCCGCAGACGATCCATTTCCGTCTTGAAGTGATTCGCCTTGCATTCCGTAAGCTGCATTTGCTCCTCGTTGACGCGACTCTTTTCAAAGTACAGCTCCTTGGTCTCCTCGGAGCGGCGCTAAGAAAAAAAAATGGGTATTTAGTTTTGTTTAGTGGGATTCAGCGTCGCGTGACCCACCAGCGCATCGCTAGCCATGCGCATCTCGTCCTGCAGATGCTCCAGACGCTTCTCCAGCTCGTAACGCTCATGCTCAGCCTTCTCGCGCAGCTGCTTCTCTCTGATGAACTTCTTGCGTTCGATTTGTCGGCGCTGTTTCTCCTCCTTGGCCTGCGCCTTCATTTGCTGTATCTCCATGGTGTCCGGCTTGCGGCGTCTCATGTACAGATCATGATTGCCCTTGCACAGATCAAGGATCTGCCCGTAGATTCAATTTCAAAGTTATATATATATATATATGTTAACTGAAGTGGGATTATGTTACAGTTACCATTTTATTGATGTGCAAGTCCTGCGAGTAAAATATAAAGTTCGACACTTTGGCGTCCACTAAGCGTATCGTGAATTTCTTGTCATCGAAACTAACGTGTCGTATCTCGTTCCATTGGAACGTTGTCTTTGGGGTTAGCTTGTCGCGCTCGTCATAGATGTTGAGACCCACGGCCGTAACGCCCAGCCACAATTTGGTTTTGTTCTTATTCTGCGGTTCGAATTGATCTCGTTAGAGGCTAGATAGATAATGGAACTTGCGTTATTACTGCTCCTCACCGTAATAGGAAAGTAGTTGACACCGTACATGTCCAGATCTTGTGCTATTTTGAGATACTCCATTTCGACCTCATCACGTGTCATGGGCTCATGATCCATGTACCTGGAAATTGGCCAAACAATATAGAATAGAGCGAAGCATTTACATTTGGGCACACTCACCAGGTCTTGATGCGCTCCTCCCACATCTCGGGCGTCATTTGATATTGATCGGTAACGCCCTTGGGCAGCAATTCGCCGCCGGCCAGCATGCCGTCCTTGTAGGTCTCATAATCGTACGGTCCGTACTGAACGTGAACCGCATACGAGGCGAGCAATACCGATGCCTCCGGTCGGCAGTAGATGTCCATTGAGAGAATGCTCTGTTTCACTTGCAAAAAGAACAAATGCTGCGTGATTTCCTGTATTAGCTCCTCGCTGACATTCTCCGGAAAGAATTTCGCATAGAAACTGAACACATAAATGCTATTGTTTGCATGCAGCTCGACCCGCTGATCTTTGACCTTTTTGTCCATTTTGAGCCAAGAGACATTGTTGCGTGTGTCCACATATTGTAAACCAAAATACCACGATTCCCGCAAACCAATTGTCCGGCATACCAAATCGAACAGCTCCTGGCCCGTCGATCGGGTCTCCAATTCGAACTCCAACTCCGAATCGAAGGTGCTCACGCGCACCGGCAACGAACGGTTCTTCTTCGAACCGAATGGGCTCATCATCTATGGCGATTGCGGATGCGATTCCGAGGTCTATCAATAACGCTTGTGATGTATTGTTCGACTATAACTATGTGCATATACATAGGGTATGTATGTATATATATTAAATATTTGGCTATTATGTGAGGCTCCTGTGTTTACTTGTTGCACTTGTCAAACATTTTCCACAACGTTCGCGTTCGCATTCGGGCATATTGCATTTATGTATGTATAATTTTGTTGTAAATACTGCACTGGCACACTTTGAAGGCACTTAATTTTAAATTTTCAATTTTAATAACTAATATTTAACAATATATTACATTTTACGTTGTCAAAAATAAATTGCGAGCGTATAAATAGCAACAACAAAGAATGAGTGTGCCCCTGCGATGCATGTGTGTCTGTGTGTGTGTGTGTGTGTGTGCGTGTCGGACGTGAACGTGTACCAGTGTGAGAGACAACGAGAGAGAGAGAGAGAGAGAGAGAGCGCGCGCTTGGCTGGCACGGAGAGCGTACGTTGATTGTATTGTATAAATTGAGACAACAACAATGTTAGATATGTGTACCGCACAGTGGTTTGCAAACACGAATACTTTGTTCGAAATCGAATCAAACAAAAGTGACGCTGAAATATTAAGAAAATTCCTATAATACTTTATTAACAGTATTGCTGCTTCATACATGGCTTATTTAACGTAACCTTAGTTAAATAATTTTATAGATATAAATATTATATTGAAGTTAAGCACTCGGGCACATAATTCTATTATTTCAGAACAATTGCATCGTCTATTAAACATAGTTAACAGATATACACATGTGCAGGAGCAAATTCGAAAAGTCTTATATGGTTTATATGTACGTAATTATTTGAAAATCACTAGCTACATTTGATGGTTTTTTAGTGGTCTATTTTTACAGCTGTATCGCGTTAATTAATGTCTATCATTTTACATACATATTTCGAACACATTTAAGTTGACTCAATTCGCAGAAGTTTGGAAGTTTACAAAACAAACGTTGCTTTTCTAGTTTAGTATAAACTGTTATGAACGAGTTAAACTTATTAACGATAGAAGATTGGCTTACTAATCCATCTGAGGTTTTCCTTGAACTATTGGCACTATCAGCTACCGTTGCAATTGCTTATTTAGTTAACGAATGGATAAGGCAAGCGATTTATGTATCGGTTTTGATTAATTCTTTTTCATTTTGTGTGTACTACAGTTATTCTTGAGTTGTTGTTGTATTTTTTTTGTTTGTTTCTTGATTTGTTTTCTTTTTATATATCACTCTAGAGCAAAGCGTATTTTATCCACATACACTTCTGTATATGTACAAAATTAAGTGTGTCTTTAAAAACCTAATGATTGCTGCGCTTGACACGTTCAACGTGCAAGTCATACAACATTTTGTTCTTTTCATAGTAATACGGATTTTGATCCGCATTCAATTCAGGATTGTACTCGTATACCCCGCCAACCACTTCAGCAGGACCACTGCCACAGCCGCCGCCAGTAATCGTTGGTAATAACAGATAATTGTTGTTGTCATTGATTAGATTCGGGATACTGCAGTTGCTGCTGCTGCTGCTGTTTCCATCATCGTAGTTTAAATGCAGATTATTGATACGTTTGGACAATGGCGTCGATTCGCACGGCAGATCATCTTCGCGGCTACGTTTTCTGTAATTAAATCCGTTATATATATATTTAGGGATACGTAACATTGTCGTTTGGTACGTGTCTGATATAATTTTCAATTGGAATTGCATTTTGGCCATGAAAGAAATAAACTTCAGGTCAATGTAACGCTGTTCATATGTGTTTCTCAATTTATGCATGCGCATGACTGCATCGAGTCGCAATTGAATTGGTCTATAGGTTTAATTTGCTAAGAATTGGTCAGTATATTACATACCTGGTTCTTAAAAATCCAGCCATTTCGATGTCATACCCTTCGGTTCCTTTTTTCTTATGCCTGGCAAGTGAATTTTGGTCGCCTACTTTGTTGTCGCTGCTGTTCTCTTGTGCTTCTTCTAGGTGACAGTTGAGAGTTGCATGCGAACGGAGTGGCAACATTATAAACAGTATGCAGGGCGTTGCCATTTGTAAACGTCAAAATTGCGATAACAATTGACGCAGTGGCAACCCTATGCTTCGTCATTCGCACGCATACAGATTACTATTGCTGAAGAGAACGAACACACAAAAGAAAAATAGTAGTTTTCTGTACAAATCGACGCCCAACCCAGCCCAAAAATATAGTAAAAATATAACAAATTACACATATTTGTTGCCATTTTCAATCCAAGTCCAGTTGTAAGTAAAATAGCGCAAGCCAACGTCTCGACATACAATAAATACCGAGCAAAAACCAATACATCTGCGCTAAGAAAGAGAAAATTCTGAAGTGAAAAGTGACCAAAAATGTTAACGATGACTGCTTTGGCTGCTTGTGTCTGCCTCCTCTCATGTCAGTATGTGTGTACGTAATGTACGTTAGTGTTGGTGAAAACGATTTGGTTCAATTTTATTCTATCTGCTGGGCGAATTTTCGAAATTTGTCCATAATTTGTGCATTTCGTTTTGATTGGCTTTCTAATAGTTAAAAACTCGTATGTACGTGTACGTGTGCGTGTGTGTGGGCGATGCAAAACAATATGCACATATGCCCATGCATGTGTGTGTGTTTGCGTGTGTGTGTGTATATTAATACACAAGTGCATTTGTGTCAAAATAAATTAGCATATTGGCTGCAGCAAAACTGCGTTTAAAACCCACACACGTGCATATAAATACATGTACACACGTACGCTGTTAATGGTTGTGTTTGTGTGTGCTGCTGAGGCAGGGGGCTGCATATTTCACATTAGAACTGCCTGCGTGCTTATCTAGGCACTGTGTCTGTGTGAGTGTGTGTGCGCTTGGTGTTGTTTTTTCTTTTTTCTTTCATTCGGCACGCACACATGCACAGCTTGAGTCATCGCCTGCGCCTGTGGCTCTCTGCTTTATGCTCCACTAAAAAGGAAGCCGGCGACGACGTCGACGTCGATACCGCCCGGCAGTCATTGTGTGAGTGCGTATGCGTGTGTGTATGTGTGTGGTCTCTGTGTACAAAGTTCTACAGATACAACTCGCACGCGTAGATAAGACAATAGTTGAGCAAAAATATAAAAAAATACAATCAAAAAAAGAAAATACAAGTAAATAGCAATTTGCGTCTCGGACTGATATGTGCATATGTAATTGTTAATGTGTGTGTGTGTGTGAGTGTGTATGTGTTTGATGCGATAATAACAAAGCGCACTCCTAAATACAACTCCCCCCGCACCCCCTTGCTAGCCGTCAAGCAACCAGCCAACCCACCCTATGACGAACTTAACACTTGGCCGGGCAAGGGCCTTCCCAGTCGCCGTCGCCCACGCCCTGCTGCCTCTTTGCGAAAGTAATTAAGGCATATGAGTCCACACAGACACACACACACACATGTCCGTTTGGCTACAGTGAAGCCTGCAAAGTTGACCATCAGTACGCGTCTATTTCTATAAATGAGCCAAACTAAGAACTTGTTCCTGCTGAGCTTGTGCTTGTCCGGATTTGACTTATAATTATATAATTATATCAGCTTAGGAAGTCTATGTGTAATATAGTTAGCTCCACTTACCTGAGAGCTGGCTGAAACATTCAATTGAATCCGGCCAAGTGCAGTGGAATGTCAGTTACATCCGTGGCAAAGGTATGCAGCCGGCAGATGGATTCGGAGACAAAGTATCTGGGCCACATTCTACAACTGTGGGCAGAAGGTTTCTTGCCTAAACTGACGAAGCGTATTCCTAGCCGAGATGTCCCAATAGATGCTTTACTTGAATTCTATATGTGTATTTCATTAAAATTGTATTTAACATTTCCAGAAATCGTTATTCACATAACTCGTACGGTATGCAAACCATCAAGTGCGTGGTCGTTGGAGATGGCGCTGTGGGCAAGACGTGCCTGCTGATATCGTACACAACCAACAAATTTCCATCAGAATATGTGCCAACTGTATTTGACAATTATGCGGTGACAGTGATGATCGGCGGCGAGCCGTATACGCTGGGACTATTCGATACAGCCGGTCAGGAGGATTACGATCGACTGCGTCCGCTGTCCTATCCGCAAACGGATGTGTTTCTTGTCTGCTTCTCGGTGGTCAGTCCCAGTTCATTTGAGAACGTCAAGGAGAAGGTAAGACGACGACACAACTGCTATAATCATAATGTGTTAATGTTGTTGTTGTATTGGAAAACTTACAGTGGGTGCCGGAGATAACGCACCATTGTCAGAAGACGCCGTTCCTGCTGGTGGGCACACAAATTGATTTGCGCGACGAGACAAGCACATTGGAGAAACTGGCCAAGAATAAGCAAAAGCCAATCACATCCGAGCAGGGCGAAAAACTGGCCAAGGAGCTGAAGGCGGTCAAATATGTTGAGTGCTCGGCCCTAACACAGAAGGGCCTGAAAAATGTCTTCGATGAGGCCATATTGGCCGCCCTGGAGCCGCCAGAGCCATCCAAGAAGAGGAAATGCAAATTCCTCTAATTATTTTTGTTTCCATGTTGTTTTTCGGTTGTTTTTTTTTCTTCTTTTTTTCTGCTTCGCTCTCAACAACAAAAATTAATGCACACCCTTTCCCCCTCCCCTCCCCCACAAATACTATATATAACTATATACGATATATGTATGTATAAATTTGCTGTCTTATTCTTTTTAAATTGTTCGCTTTACTGTCCAACCGCCCCGCCTACTCCCAGTGCGCTCCGGCCCCTAAACAAAAGCGAAATTCTTTTGCCTTAAAGCTTAAATTAACAATTTGGCATTAATTTGATTTTAATTTGAAATGTAATTTCTACATTTTTGCAAATCAAAATTCCGTTTACGCCCCGAGACCCTTCAGAGCCGCTCTTTATGCTTTTTGGCGCGATTTCTTATAAGAAAATAAATGCTAAAAAAACAAAACAAAAATTAAGCAAAACAACAAACAAGAACAACAATAACAATATAGCAAAACAAATTATTTATATATTCATATATATATATATATATACAAAAGTAAGGAGAAGAAGGAATCGAAGCAAAAACAAACCAGAACAAAACTGAGAACTATGCAATTTTGTGTTTTGCATAAATATAGGAGAAAAAGCAACTGCTCACGGCAATAGAAAAAGAAGCGCGAGCAGCCAGGAAATATATTAAATAAACACAAATGCAAAATAAATAAATAAAATACGTGCATATGTCTACCATTTGTTTACACACGCAATAATAACGGTACACAAAATTAACTAAAAAAAAAACAAGGAAAGAAAAACTAAAACTTAAAATTATAATAAAAGAAATATGCGTAATTGTATGTAACGCTATTATGTAATAAAAGTAAGAGTATTGAAATATATAAGTAAGGGTTGCAAAAAAAAAACGAATTGAGAAAATTTGAGAAAATCGAAAACCTTATAAGTATAATATCCAGACAAAAGAGAATTGTATTGTAGTTCAGCATAAAAACAAAAACAAAAAAAACAAACAAAGCGTAGCAGCAGACGCAGTTGAAGAACTAATGCATTTTTTCATATTTTTATATGTATACATTATCAATTTTTACATTTTTTTTTTTTTAGACCTTAGACATTTGACATTATTGATTTCAGATAATATAATAAAAAAGAAAAAGAAAAAAAAAACAAATATAATGTAAAAAAAAGCAATAACCAAACGAAATCAACTTTGGGCTAAGGCAACAGTTGGGTACGACACGACTCTAGCATAAAGATAGATAGCTCCGATCCCGCCTAAACTATGTATATATATATATTCTTGATCTGTATCCTTGCTCAGTTTTAAGGCTTGAATCCAAAATCCTTAAGCAACAGTTGGCAATTTTATACCCAGACACGACACGACTCCAGCTTAAAGATAGATAGCTCCGATCTTGCCTAAACTATGTATATATATATATTCTGGAACAGTATCTACAACCAAGTCTGTCTATGTTCCATCCAGATTGCTGTGCTTTGCGGCTCGAGCCAATGCTCCTGCTTGGGTTTGTCAAATCCTTAATCCTTAATAGAGCCGACTATCATTCATTCAGATGATCTCTGCAATTTGAATTGAAACAGTTTGGTTTATGCGCGCTTTTTCCAGTATCTTAAAATATAACAAATTGGCTCCTTTTGATTACAGATTTAGCTACGGCTCGGATCAGAGCTTGTTGATATTGTCGTGCTGCTGGCCTAAAGCGGTTTGATCCACTTGCATTTGATGCCCGCCAGCGCCACATCGCTGACCGCCGTGTGCTGAAAGCCAGCGCTGCCTGCAATATCAATGCAATCGATGTCCCGGCGCAGGCTATTCTGTCCATCCTGCAGCAGTTGCTCGATGCCGTGCCAGGCTATCATGACGCCATTGTCGGAACAGTAGCGCTTCGAGGGTCGAAAAGCGCGGCAATTGTATTGCGCCGCCAAATGGGCCAGATTCGCAAAGATCACATCGTTGTTGGCCACGCCGCCCGAGATGACCAGGGTGGGTGGCGCGGCGCCAAATAAGCCCTGCTGCAGACAGTACTCGAGGGCGCGTTGTGTGCGTTGCATCAAATGGCGACTGACCGCACGCAGCAGACCCGCACAGAAGTCATTGTAGTTGCTGATGATGCCATCGGGCGGCGTGCGCTCGGCCAGCTCCTGTTTGCGTATGGCACGAAACGAGTTGTTCTTGATGCCCGCAAAGCTAAAGTTGCAGTCGCGCTGCCTTGACAACGGCAGCGGGAACTCATAGGCAGCCGGTTGGCGTGCCGTTTGTGCAGCATGCTCGACGGCACGACCGCCGTTCCACAGCCGATACTGGGGCAGCACATAGAGCCGCAGGCGTCGCGCTATCTTATCGAACGCCTCGCCGGGCGCATCGTCCAGCGTTTCGCCGAGCAGCGTCAGACGGCCGGGACCCTGCACCAGGGCCAGCTGACAGTGGCCGCCGCTGATGAGCAGGCACAGATATGGGTAGCCAATCTCTGTCAGCTGCTCCATGCGCACCTGCAGTGCGTGTGCCTCCATGTGATGCACGGGCAGCAGGGGTTTATGTTCCCGGCGTGCCAGATGCCGTGCGAAACGCAGGCCCACAATTAAGCTCAACGGCAGTCCCGGCCGTGTCGTCACCGCAATCGCCTCCAATTGCTCCGGCTGCAGTTGCGCCTGCTCCAGGCAACGCTCGTAGGCGTTTTCAATGCGCGCCCGATGCAGATCCTGAGCACGTGGCGGTATGATGCCACCGTAACTAGATATTGTAAAGGAATATATGTGTATATGGGTGGAGTTAAGCGTGGAGTCCAGTCATCTGTTACCGTGTGTGGAACTGCTGCTGGGACTCAAGCACATTGGCGTGCACTCGACCAGTTGTATCGACAATGGCAATGCCAGTGTCATCGCAGGATGTTTCGATGCCCAGCACATAGCTGATCAGGCGTTTGCCGGCTCGCCTGGATGCCCCCGGACATCTGAGCAGCTGTGGAACAGCAGCTGCATACATAACACACGAATATGCCGGCTTTTTGAATAGAAACAACAACAGTATATATTATCAAAGTCTGGCAGCGCTGGCATCTTACACAGAGTTGCTAGCTGGCTCGTGTACACTGCGACAGCAAGCACACATTTGTAGCATCTGGCAGCGCTGGCTTTTTAAGCGCTCTCTCGATCTGGCAGCACTACACTCAAAAATTAACAAAATTAAAAACTTGTATAAAATACTTTATTAATATTAAATAATTTATAATTTATATGAACGAGCGTCATTCGAAATGAGGCAAATGCCACACGTCACAAATACACATGTATTTTAATTATGTTTTATTTTGAAAACTATATAATAAATAATATTGATTTAATCATTTTGCAAATGGAAAAGTGAAGTTTTCTAAATTGTTGTGCATATGCACATTTCTGCATACGAGCCGAGCCGAGCCGAGCCACAACACAACACAACACACCACACCACACACACACGCACACACACACACAACGCATTTCTGAAATTCATAGAATATATGTCTAGTTTCTTGGACTATGCATGTACATACACACACACACATACATATGTATATGTATATGTCTATGCACTCTTGTAAGTAATCCAGTTTGGCCTTATCGCTCGTAATAGACGCGATAATAAAGCGTTTTCGAACGCCAAATGCTGTAGCTATTGTCAAATTTCAGTAAATAGACGCCCTCGCCAGGATACGAATGGGAGCCGACGTAGACCTCGTTGTAGCATTCGCGCCGATAGATTGGCACAATTATGGAAATGGGCGGCTTTGTGGCGGCGGCGGCGGCCGCATTTTGTGCGGCCAATGCATGCCGATCCTGCGACAGGGAGCCGGACTCCAAATCCTCGGTTGTCGATAGATAATCCTCATCGACGCAATCCTCATCCTCGTCGCTGTCGCTCACATGCACCGTCACCTCGTTGGTAACGGGCTTCGCCCACTCAAAGTAAATGCCGAAACCGATGTCGTAATTGTCTGTCGCAAACTCCCAGAAGATGCACTTGCCGTTCATATTCGTGGGCACGCGCACCTGCAAGGAACAGTCCATCAATCAATCAGTCGAGTCAGTCAATCATTCAATCAGAATACGCACCGTTACCGTATCGCCGTGTCCAATGGTAATGACACCATCGCCATCGCCGGCGGATACTTCAGTCTTGAACTGTTCGATATCGGGACGCGTCCAAATCTTGGCCGGACGTATCATCACATAATCATCATACTCATCGCCAGCCAGCTGCTCCGACTGTGCCGGCTGCTCGCCCGTCTGCGACTGACTCTCGATATCGTTTAGCTGCAGTCCATCCATGGCCTGGGCCAGATTGGCGCTGCCAGTATTATGGCTACAGCTGTTGCTATTGTTGTTGTTCATCTGCTGCTGTTGCTGTTCCTGCTGTTCCGCCTCCGCTAGCAGCAGCACATCGTTGTCCTTGTCGAGCGTCTGCTGCTGTTCCAGATTCTGATTGGGATTCGCTGCGTGCGTCTGGCCATGACTCTGCAAATGCAACTGCTGCATATACTGATGATAGTGCTCCCGCTGCAGCTGATGTATAAGCACCGCCTGCTGCTCCGGATTGCCGGGGAACTGCTTTTCCGCGTACAGCTGCAAACGAACGCAAACAATTATTAACACATGTATCCTGGCATTCGGAACAGCCCGTTCTTGACCCCATTCGGGCGTCTGACCTCATTCGCCGCCAACGCAGACAATTAACATTTATTATTGACAGACGATGACAACGACGACGTGCGAGTCGGGTTGGGCAACAACAGGTGCAACTGTCTGGGCAAACAGTTGACAAGCATCACAGTGACCAACTACCAAATACCCTATCCAGACCGCAAGCTGTCGGCCAGAACTGGACAATTATCAAACGGATCTGTGCCTAGTTTCGAATCTATGTTTAGTTTGCTTGGAATAGCTTCAGAGCGGAGCGAGAGGAGAAACTGACGAACAATCGGGACTACATTGAGCCTGTCGTTGACATTGTTCAAGAATATATATAATCCTTCTACTTCTTCGAGCTAGAAAAACGTGTTAAACAAACAAAAACCCATCAAAATCTTTCACAGTCGCCACGAATTTGCCCTGCTTAACAATTAATGTATAGTATATAAGCTATATAAGTCGTCTTCAAATTGAATATATGTAGAGTATATCTAATCTGTTGCAATTGCTCAGATAGTTTCTTTTTTTTTATGGTAAACGAGGCATACGAATTGGCATACTTTTTTGAATTTGGTTTCGAAAACAAAAGAAAGCATGTACGCATATATATTCCATTTCGTATAGCCCATTTCTAACCCATACGCAAGCTTTCTTCACTTGCCGTCACATACGCTGGCACAGCGTCTGGCATGCCCGCTTGGCACGGCGCCTGGTGTACGTGGTATTCGAAAATCGATTGCGTGTCGCAGTTGTGAAACCTTACCTTAAACTGCTGATATGTCTGCTTGTTGAGCGCATCCTGCAGCTGACGGCGTTGCAATTCCTCCTTGTAGCCCTCCTCGAGCAGCTCCTGCTGTTCGCGTTCACGTTTCTGGCGCGCCTCCTTCTCCAGCTCCATGCGACGCAGCTCGGCCTTTAGGTTCTCATCGCGATTCTGACGCACCGCCTCAATGTACGGCCGAAATGCACTGCACATGGTGTCCAGCAGATCGATGAAGCCCTCCATTGCCTGCTCGCGCGTTATGTCGCCGAGCAGCTGCCAGTGCTGCTGCCTGTCGCGGCCGATCACGTCCAGAACGCCCAGAGCCGGCGCATGGTTGGCGTTAAACGGTCCGACCGCGGCCTGTTGCTTGAAGGCGATCAGCTTGAGATTGTCCTCGTAGGACAGATGTATGGCCTTGCCCGAGTTCTCTGCAATGCATGGAACATTCAATTAGCGGAAGCCGCAGTAATGCATACGACAAGTTTTACGTTTGTAGAATGTAAACGCGAGACGGTAAAGCTCCTGCAATGGGAAGCCCCATTTCTCCAAAGTACTTGTATTGCCTGGTCTGCTGTTGCTGCTGTTGTTATCCATTGTCCTTTAATGTATGTAATTTTTGTTTAGCAGAAAACAAAAATAAATAATAAAATCTGACTGTGTGTGTGTGTGTGTGCTCGTATGTGTTTGGTTGAGTGTATTAGAGACAAAAAGTATCGAACTTACCCGATAAAATCACGATAACTCGATAGCTAGTGTCAATTTCGAAACAGCATACGCGATTTGGCGCCAAGTTGGGTATAAAAAAGCGTTAGTTGATTTATCCTGCGATGTTAACTAGAATACGCATAATTTTCTTAAAAATAAATGTCAGTGCTTTTTATCTTAGTCAGAGTTGGGTGCGAATTGAAGAAGAAACGAGTAAAAGTTCGTGTTCGTGCTCCCATCTCTACTGGCAAAGATACAAACAAGCAATTGCTGACGTCACAAACAACTATCGATATGTGCTAAATAAAAGTGTGACTAGTATTTTACAACACTGACTACCAACAGCTGTGTTGTTGGTACTGTAGAATCGCCTACACGTGCGCTTACATAGATGTAAAAATATATATTTTGTTAAATAATTAGTTTTGTATAAGAAAATATGGGCAGCACGCGTTTCTTCCTTGCTGACTTGCCGGCCAAAACCACAGAGCATGACCTGCGTGCACTTTTCCAGGACTATGGCGACGTGGAGCGCGTGGAGCTAAAGACGAAAGAACAGTTTGTGGATTCGGGTCAAACAATAGCCAAAGTTATAGCCTTCGTGACGGCGCAGACGGATGATGCCGACTACTGTTAGCAGCTTATTTAACTAAAGTACACATATACTAAACTAATCCAACCAATTGCAGGCGTGAATGAGCTCAACTGGCAGCGGCTGCATGGGGCCAAACTGAAGGTGTCGCTGGCCAAGGAATCGTTCTTGGATCGTCTCAAGCGCGAGCGTGACGAGGGCCAGCAGAGCGCACAGGAGTCGCACAATGCCAGCGAATCGAATCAAAGCAGTTCCCGTCTGCTGGCACAGAATACGCAAAACAAGCGACGCGTATTTGGGGAGCACGAGGAGATCAACGATGAGGATGTGGCGCCCGAGCTGCTGATAACCAAAAAGCGTGCCGCCCACTCCCTGATCAATGGCAAAGTGAGTGGGCAACGAGTAGAATGTTCTTTGTAATTCTTGTAATCCCTTGTCTCTTTCAGATTGTCATCCAGCAGGAGCACGACGTGAAGCCGCTGCACATCATCGAGCAGCACAGGAAGCCCGTCGGTAAGCAACTGGATGCGAAGGCTGCCATAGCGGACCTCAAGCGCAAGGAGTCGCTGAACAAGATGAAGCTGCAGCATGAACAAAAGAAAACGGCCATACAGCAGGCATTGGCCTCCACGGCGGCGGGTCAGGCCAAGCGCATCAAGTTCAGCGATGCCGAAGAGGAGGACGAAGTGACGCCAAAGCCGAAAAAGGAGCAGCCGAAAAAAGCTCTCTTCGAGGATGACGAGGAGGATGAGCAGGAAGAAGAGGTGCTGCTGCCGCAGCATAGCGGCAAAAAGGGCGAACGTCTGGTCGAAATGCAAAGCAAACAAAGTTTGGATCCCAGATTTCGCATAACAGCAAATTTTGTGGCCGAAGATGATGAGGACGAGGCCGAGGCAGAGACGGAGGATGCAGCAGCTGAGCAGAAGCAACAGGACAAGGCACAGGATAGCGAGCGCAACTGGCAAATGGGCATTCTGGAGCAGGTCATTGGACGCAAAATAGACAGCAGCAATGCGCCCGGCGCCAAGGCGTCCAAGAACAAGAAAATGCTGCGCTTTGATCCCGCCAAAGAGGAACACCAGCAAATGTTGCGCGTCAAGTCGAAAAAGGAAGACAACGCCAAGCCGCAGCCAAAGGCGGCGACAGCAGCCACCGCTGAGGACGCCGCCAGGCCGGCGCCCGTCTCGCAGAATGCATTCTATGTGGTCACCGATACGCTGAAGCAATCGCTAAAGACGCGCGGCGAGGGCTTCAGTCTGCTGGAAATGTTCGGCAGCAGTCACGAGGTGGCGGTCGCCGAGCGACAGGATCAGCTGGAGAAGCTCGGCCACGAAAAGATATTGGTCAACAAGTCCAACAAACTGGGTCTGGGCCAAGTGAATCCGTTCAGCTACGATTCCTCCGACAGCGACGACGATAATCTTGATGCGGATGCACAGCAGCAGGCGCTGGCTAAGGAGAACGAGGCGCCCGTCAAGAAACCTGGCAAACAAAAGCAAAAAAAGTCACAAATCTTTACCGAAACCTTTTTCATACCCAAAAATGATGCCAGGCTCAAAGGTACACTAATCAATAAACTATTTCTTACAACTGAACTTATCCAAATTTCTCTTACAGAGGGCGCGAAACTATTCAAGTCCAGCAAACCGGAGTTGGAGAACGAGAATTATGATGAGGTTAAGAAGCGTCTGAAATTCCTTATAACCAAGAAAATTGCCAAGACGCAGAAAAACATTTCCGGCAAAGATGTCAAGAAAAACAAGAATAAAAAGCGAAACAAGTTTTAAATATATTTAAAAGCCGATTTTGTTATGCAGAAAGCTTAGCATGCTTTTAGGCTTGCGTTTTTTCAAGCTAAGTGGCAACGCTGTCAAAGTACATGTCGTTGACAAATGGGTATCGATACCATGCATTTGAATTTTACAGGTGAAATACTTATATATGTGTATGCCTTTAAATCCTAATATATTTTGTGGTAGAAAAGGTTTTAATTACATTTGATTTGACTTGTTTTAACTATTTTTGAACGATAGTAATATACGCAGCACAGTCCGTTACTTTATGCGGATTAAAGCTACACCTTTTATTTTTGCACTTTGCCTAATGCCCGAGTGGCAACACTGCAAATATCATTTGCTTATCGATATATCGAAAAATATGATATCGATTCGTGTAGCGGCCAATTTTACAAAATTCAAATCGTTTTCTTTAATTAACTTGGCTTTTGCCTAGGATTTTTATTTGTTTGACATATTTGCTGCGACTTTATTTATTTAAAGGCTCGAAAGCTGGATGAAAACCAAAATTTACTTGTCGCACAAATAAATGCATAAGCAAACCAAAACAGAAAAAACCGCCACTCAAAATTTGGTTTTTGTGTATTTAACTAAATTAAAAAAAAAAAATATATATGTATATATATATATATATGATGTATACATAACATACATACATATTAATATGTTCCTGCACAAATGCATTTGAGCCCCATTTTAGCTCCAAACTTAAAACGAAATATAATTTGCTTGCGAACGACTAAAAATTACAAAAAAAAAAAATAAAACAAATAGAAGATTTGGGTAAAAGATCGGCGCAATACGCAGACTTGCCAGTTAAACAGACTATATATAAATATAGATGACAAAACGATTGAAAAAATGGCCACATGCAGAATGTTTTGATTGGGGGCTATATAGAAAATATCATATATATATATATATATGTATATAAACGTTTTGGTTGGAGGTCTGCGTCTATAGCTAGAGGATTCATTGAACCTTAACCTAGATACAAATTAAGTTAGTGCTGGCACAAATATTGCGTCTGGCAATATATTAAACTTAGACAAGATAAAATAGTTGCTCTTTTGTTTCTTTTTTTGGTTTCCGTATGCTTAGCTATGCATGCGAGTCCTTAAGCACTTGGCACTATTAAGTAAACGTTGCAAATCTCATATAGATTCCGAGACATGGCTCGTCTTTGGCACTGCGTACATTTCTCCATTACAATTTGGATCTTTGTCTACGTTTCTATCGCGGCTGCTGCGGCGACTGTTGCTGCGTCTGGCGTGGACGCCAGCTCCTGGTTGTTGTCATCGGGCAACAGCAGAACAATGGCATCCGATTCGTTGGCAGCGGCAACGTCAGCTGTTGCTGCATCGGCGGGTGTGGCGGCACGTTTTATGGCTTCAGCCTGGCTTGGCTCAGCCGGCGCAACTGGAGCAGCAGCAGCAGCAGCAGCTGTGGCTGTGTCTGTGGCTTCTGCTGCCGTGGTGTAGGCCGGCCTGGCCGCGGCCAGCTGCTCGATGGCAACGACTGTGCGCTCGAGCAGATTCATGAGGCGCTCCTCGCGCGCATCCATGCGCTTGAGCAGCTCCTCGTCCCGTTTCTCGCGCCGCTTTAGATACTCGATCAGCTCGTAGTTGGTGCTGTCGCCATCGGTGGACGTGGACATCTTGCGTTTGCCGCTCTTCAGCGATGCGGACGAGCTGCAGTCGGACAGATTGTCCGTATCCACAATCACATCAGGATGCAGTATATTCTGATCTATGCTCGGCGAGTAAAAGTTTTGCGCGCTGCAAATAGACACAAGGATTAAGACTAACACAACTGGCTTTTGGAGGCCTTCACTCACCCATTGTAGTTGGTCTGCATGAGCTGAATGTCATCCGGATTGAATTCACCCTCGGAGAGCGGCTCCGATCTGTGTGGCACGAGGGGAAGGCATATTTAGTGTGCAAACAAGAGAGACTTATGAGGCGTATAAAGGCGCTGTGTGTCGCCCATCAATCAATCAATCAGTCAGTCAATCAGTCGATTACTTTCACTTATCATCGTACACCATGACGTATTTATAGGATAACAGAAAACAACTGTGATAACTGCAGCAATAAGGATCTAACTGCGCGACGCCCATCAATCATATAGTCAATCAATCAGTCAATCAATCAATTGATTTGTTTAAGTTAAAAAACGCACTGTTACATCGTTTGATGGTAAAATAAAACTACTGCGATAAATGTAACTAACTAGCACTGAATGTTTGCGCTGTACATCACCCATCAATCAGTCAATCAATTGATTTGTTTTAGTTGTAAAACGCAGTATAACGTAATTTTATGATAAAATACAACTACTGTGATGATACAGCTAGCCAGCTCTAACCTGCGTTGCGCATCGCACATCAATCAATCAGTCAGTCAGTCAATCAGTCGATTATTTTCGGCTGCAATACATTTTAGAGTACTGTACGTGTTTTTGTGATAAAAGCAAGCACCTGTGATAAATGTAACTAACCAGCTCCGAAGGTTTGCGCTGTACATCGCCCATCAATCAGTCGATTACTTTCACTTATCATCGTACACCATGACGTATTTATAGGATAACAGAAAACAACTGTGATAACTGCAGCTAGGAATCTCTAACTGCGCGACACCCATCAATCACTTAGTCAATCAATCAGTCAATCAATCAATTGCTTTGTTTTAGTTAAAAAACTCACTGTTACATCGTTTGATGGTAAAATAAAACTACTGCGATAAATGTAACTAACCAGCACTGAATGTTTGCGCTGTACATCACCCATCAATCAGTCAATCAATTGATTTGTTTTAGTTGTAAAACGCAGTATTTCGTAGTTTTATGATAAAATACAACTACTTCGATGAATACAGCTAGCCAGCTCTAACCTGCGTTGCGCATTGCACATCAATCAATCAGTCAGTCAGTCAATCAGTCGATTACAGTCGATTCGGCTATAATAGAATACTGTACGTGTTTTTGTGATAAAAGAAAGCAGCTGTGATAAATGTAGCTAACCAGCTCCGAAGGTTTGCGCTGTACATCGCCCATCAATCAGTCAATCAGTCAGTCAGTCAATCAGTTGGAACACTTACTTCATGGATATGTTGTTGTCGTTGGTGGCGCTGCTGTTGTGATGCAAGTTGAGCGGTCCGCTGCAGTCCTTGTCAAAGTCGGGCGCCTCGGGCGGCTCATGGAGTCCATGGCCATGATCCTTAAATGCGGCACTGTGATTGTGACCGTGACTGTGACTGTGGTTGTGACTGTGACTGTGGCTGTGACTGTGGTTGTGACTATGACTGTGACTCAGCTGTGGCTGCTCCTGCTCCTGGCCAGCGCTGGCCGCCTGCAGCTGGGGCTGCTCGTGCCGCAGCTGGGCGGCAACTGCGGCTGCCGCGGCGGCTGCCACGGCGCCGGCAACCTGCAGCTGGAGCGGATTATCATCGTAGCCGCTGCCGGGCAGACCGACGCCCAGCGGCAGACCGCCGCCAACGCCGCCGCCGCCGCCGCCGGCGCCACCATTCGAGCAGGGCCCCTCGCTTAGCTGTGTCTCCACGAAATGGTTGGGCATAAAGCGTTCCAGTTTGCTGGCGCCGCTCTGTGAGGAGTCTGTCGAATGGGCGTGGCTGAGGCTCTGCAGCAGACTGTGCTGATGTGGCGTCAGATTGTCCTTGTTCAGCAGCACGCCCAGCTCGGCCGCCTGACGTCGACGCTGATAGTAGGACAATTCATTGTGATTCTTGGAGATGAGCGCCAGCCGCTTGCCATTCGAGCCCCAGCACTCGCCGCGCTGCTCCTCGATCTCCTTGAACAGGAACATGTACGGCCAGTTGCGGCGCACATGCCTCTCCGGATTCTTCTTCAGCTGCGTATAGATCTTCTTGAGGTTCTCGTAACGATTGCAGCACTGTTTGGCCGTTCGTTTTCTCGCACTGAACCGGTTCAGCACCTCGGCGACCATCTCCCAGACGCTGGCATGATTCTTTCGATTCGATTGGAACGCGCTCTGGATGCGCTCCGATTTGACGATATTCAACAGGGCCACCGATTCCGGCACATTGAAGTAGCTCTCCGGCGTGCGCGGCGCACGCTGATGATGGTAGCTGCTCGTGACGGTGGGCGGGTTTTTCGTCTCCTGCAAAGTCCAATAAGAAAATTGGTGAGCTCTCCAAACACAAGATTGATCGACGGGCCAGATACTCTTTAGTCAAATACTTCCTCTCTCGCGCTCTCTTTCTCTCTCTCTCTCTCCCTGAAACACAGCTCTTATCATTCCCCAAATTAACCTTATTCGAAAATCGATACTTATCGATTTATCAAATTCGATATTTATCGATTTATCAACATCGATATTTATCGATTTATCAAAACCAATAGATGCATATACTTTAAAGCCTCGCAAGTGCTTCACAATTTCCATGAGAGCGCTTTAGGCGTGAGTGCTCGACTAGTAGATACCCTGGAAACTGCTAATGCTTACTCTTTAAATAAGCATCTGAGATTTATTGATGAGTATATTTTATAGGCTCGCAAGTGCTTCCCATTTTCGATGGAAGAGTGCTCTAGTGCTGATTACTCGACTAGTGGATACCCTGGAAATTGCAAATTCTTAACCTATATCTACTTTATAGGCAAGTGCTAGCCATTTTCAAGGGAAGACTGCTCTAGGGCTGATTACTCGACTTGTAGATACCCTGGAAACTGCATATTATCACTCTTTATATACGGAGTATACTTGAATAGTCTTAAGTAAGGGTATCCTAGAAGTAAACTTTTATGTGAATTCTATAACCTACCCCACAAATTAAGGGCCTCATGATCTTGGAGTTAAGTTTAATCGAATTGAAAATCTATTTTAATATAGAGAATTTCATTTAATACCATATACATTAAGTCGACGCGTTGCTTGCGCCCGTTACATACACATCCACAATATCGGCATACCCAATGTGACTGAGCACAGGGTATAAGCAGTTAGAAACTGGCAAACGATCATTGCCAGATTTGGAATAGGAATCAACAAAGTAAACTAAATGAATTCATATGATCCATGGCTACTCGCAAACCAACTTGACCCTGAAGACCCTGAAGCTGATAAGCTCTCGTAGTCTCCCTTAAAGCAGTTCGACTATGCTCCAACCGAGTAGAGAAAAAGGGTATTCAACTATTTAATTGGAATTCCAGAAGAAGAAAAAACTCCAGATTCGCAGCGTTCTAAAGTATCTGTATTAAGTGTTTTCTTACAAAACTGAGATAAACTAAATTGCAGGAAAAACACTTTGGGAACTTTGTATGCATGTATGTATGTATTTATTTCCACTCACACACATACATACATAAATGTTTCGGGGTATTCGAGCTGTTACTTGATGCCTTGAAAAGTGAAACAAACAAAAACGAAAGAAACAAAAAAAAAAAAACGAACAGGTAACAATAGCCCAACAATGCTGGTGCATCAGGATATTTGAACTGAGCTCGTGAGTGCCCCTGCTGCTGCACCCCACTCAAATTGCCGCCCGCCAATGAAACATTTGTAACTGTAATTGCATATGCTTTGCCATTTATGTTGATGGCGGAAGAGTGAGAGAGCAATAGACTAGGCTAGTTTGTCTAGGAGTTTACGTTTGGCATTCTCACATTGCGATCATGCATAACAGAGAGAGCGAGAGGGAGAGAGAGAGCTTGCGCTCGCTCTCGCCCAAAGAGATTTGCGCCGCATTGTTGTTGTTGTTGCTGTTGTTATGCTTTTGCTAGGTGCTTTACTTACCATTTGAATATTTTGTTTGAGTCAGCAGCTTATTTCACAGAAGCAACGGCGTCGGCGTCGACGTCAGCTGCGCTACGCTGCAGCCAGCACAGCGAGCGATTTTGTGCTGAGATAGCGTTACGCCAAGATTCGCTATATTCTCTATTTTAACTTGGTATCCGTTTTGGTGTGTCTCCTTTGGCTGCCGCTGCGGCTGCTGCAGTTGGCAACGTTAGCATTTCAAAGAAAAAAACAAAAACAAAAAAAGAAGAAGCAGAAAACCGTTTAAAAATAACGCACTTCTAATTGGTAGTGTGTACACACTGTAAGTATTGCATATGCTAACGGACACCAATGCAGTGGCGCTGCATGTGTGCGTGCGTGTGTGTGTGAGTGTGTGTGTGTCTAACCAAAGGCGAGCACTTGAAACATTTGTCCGTTGGGCTCGTCTTTTCTCCCAATGTTTTTTATTCAAATTTCTTAGCGTTGTTGTTGGTTGGTTGGTCTGTATTTTGTTTTTGTTGACAACAAAACGGCCGTCGACGACGACGACGACTATTAATATTTAGAAGTTAACCTTTTAGCCTCGGACTGCGGCTCATCGGCTACAGTTGAAAATAAAACGACAAAAAAAAAAAAAAAAAAAAAAAAAAAACAAAACAAAGTAAAACACAAAATCATATACATTTGTATGCTTGCATGTGTTTGTGTGTGTGTGTGTGTGTTCATACAATGTGCACATTTGCGTGTGTGCATATAACTGACGGCGGCGCTAGTTGTTGCTGCTTTGTTTTTGTTTTTGATTTGCTTATTTATTTAATTTTTTTTGTTTTTGTTTTTTGTTTTTCGTCGCCAGTTTGTATGAATAAATATATGTATGTATGCGCTTTGGCGCTTTCCAGGCAACATAAACAATTCGCGCACGAGCGTGGCCCACACACGCACACGCACACGCACGCACGTTCACTGGCCAACGGTTAATTCTTGCACTTGCACTTTGTTGCAGTTTTTTTTTTCATACACTGCGCGATCCGGCAAGTTCTGTTTGTCGCTCGCTCTCTCTCTCTCTCGCTCTCGCGTGTTCTTGTATTCTTATTGGCTTGCTGTTTACAGCTAAACATATTTGTTGCACCCACACACACTCACACACATGTACACATATTCGTATATTTGTATTGGCGCAACCGTGCCAAATGTCCGTTTGGTGCGCTTTGCAATTGAACTAACCAACACTAAAACACTCAAAAACAAAAAAAAAAAAACTAAACGAAAGCAAGGCAGCAACTAAACGACAACGACAAGCAAACGGGCAACGAAAATGAAACTGAACTTTTCGTCGCGATCCCGTTGCCGATACTAACGGCAGTCACAGACACAGACACACATTGCGCCAAGTTCTGCTACGATCGTTAGGCAGACGGACGACGCTCGCGCTCGTCGATTTGTTGCTGCTGCTGCTGCGACTGCTGCTGCTCCTCGGAACTGCGTGCCCCGTTCTTATTCTTATTCTTATTCTTGTTGTTGTTGTTATTGTTGTTTTTGGTTTTGTTGCTGTTGGCCTGTGCTTTAACTTAGTAGATTGCGATGGCAGCGTTGGTAGCGGTGGCAGCGGCAGCGGCAGGGCAGAGGCGCCGCGCTCTCACTTTTTCACATGTGTTCAAATGTCTTCGGTATGGGTGAGTGTGCATATAAATATACATAAATACATATGTATGTCTACTTATAGAATCGAACGTAGCAGCGACGGCGGCGACGACGACGACGGCGACAGCGGCAGAGCAACGGGAATAGAGACAGTTAACTGATGCGCCCGGCCTATGGCGATTCTGAATCTGATTTCGATTTCGATTCCAACAGTCGAGCCAAGGAATCACACAAACGCACACACACACACACACACACTGCCATGCAATACGTGTGTGCGTGTGTGTGTTTTGCTCTCTGGGGGCATGGTAAATGGTGCAGGCAGAAGGAATCTATGGGCATTACTGTGCTGCAGCAACAGCAGCGAGTGGGAAAAATCGTAGACTATAAATAGATACAAGTATGCTCGATATATGTATACGTAGTATATGTGCATGTACTCTATATACATGCATGTGTGTGTGCATCTGTGTGTGTGTGTGTGTGTGCATATGCACCCCAAAGAAGCTGCGACTCGGTTGATGATCTTTCAGAAAAAAAAAAAAAAACGAAAAGATAACAGAAACTGTTAAAGTTGAAATATGTTAAAATTCTTTACACAGATCTTTACAGTTTCCCTTATTTATACTAACTAACATTATAATGTTAGTGTATATATACATACATATATAGAATTTATAAGTTTGGGTATTGGTAACAAGTTTTGTTGTTTTAACTGATTTATTGGCAGATTTACGTACTCTTCATATAGATTGGAAATAATGGGAAATATGAAAGAATTCTTTTTTGTGCAGATCTTGCCTGATTCTTTCCTATAGATCAGATTTCATTATCATTAAGTTTATACTCGTATAGTTCTACATACTGGAATATGGAAGAATTCTTTCTACAATTTATTCCTGATTCTTTTCTATAGATCTTTCCGGGAATGCATAAATTCGGAATTGGGATATTGAGGAATCATTTGAACATCTGACATTTCTGGAAAAGGTTGGAAGAGTTCTTGCTGCCAGATACAAGAAGAAAGGACAAGAATCGGTAATTCCCTCAAGAAGTACCCTAGGTGGGCTATAGAAAAGTAGGAGTTCCAGTATTTTCAAGGGGACTGAAATTGGGGTCTTAATAAGCTGGATAATCAAAAAAAAAAGCTCAGATTTTTATTCCAATTCCGAATCCTACAAAAAAGATCAGATTATATTTTAGCTTATATTATATGTTTTAGAATTAAGTTGGAATATTCCATATTCCATATAATATTCCATTCGAATGGAAGTTCCATTCCAAGTGGGTTTCGTTCAAGAATTGTTTCGGTAATTCAGTTTCTAAAGTAAAATTGAGCTTTGCTGATTAAAGGTGGATATTAAAATATGCTAAGAATATGCGCGTACTTTTTATTACCTGAGAGAGAGCGAGAGAGCGAGAGAGAGAGAGAGAGAGAGAGGCTTTGTGGACGATTGAGAGTCGAGCTCTGACCCAAAGCCAATCGGAGCTCGCGCTCCGATACCCTAAGCGCATTGCAAGTGCTTTAGCATAGGGTATATAGAGTCGTAGCAAATGGAAATCGTTGCCAATATCCTGTATAGAGTGTATGCACTTTTCCGAATGCCCCAAAATGGCATTTTCGGAGACATTTTCGGAGACATTTTCCTGACTGCATAAAGATCGTAAGAGCAACAGTCTAGGCGTTGCAGTAGAAAGTGAGGGTATGCTCTAGTCGAGCACAGCCCATTTGTTGTTGTTATCGAAATCGCGATCTTCATTGATTAGTTTTCGACGATTGCCGCGATTCATGGAAAATTGTTTCAAAACATTTCGAAAGCGTTTGATTCCGTTTCGGAACGAAACACACACACACATACATACATGCATACACATATATGTATAGACTATGCGTGTGTGTGTGTGTGTGTGTGTGTGACTTTTATGTACATACTATAAATTAAAAATACCGGTGGGGCCCGAGTACGAGCGTATGTATATATGCATGCGTTATACACACACACACACACACACACTCTCGCACACACACACACACACACACATGCACTTGGTATGATCGTATTCTATTTGTAATCCAAAATAAGTGAATGTATCTGCATCTGCGGCCGTATGTGGTTCACTTTACGAGCTCTTCTGCTCACTCTCTTCCTCTTCCTCCTCCGCCTCCGCCTCCGTCTCGCTCTTCCTCTGCCTCCACTCAGTTATTTTTGGTACAGCTGCTGGAGCCGCGCTGTAAATGCTTTTCATGCCGTTATTCTTATTCGCTGCGCGATGCCTCAAAAACGTAGACGCAAGAAAACAAGTAAGAGCCGCAATTGCGCCGCCGTAACCGACTAGCAGATACCCTGTGTTCAGCTGAAAGCTGCTTTAACAGCTTCCCTCGCTCTCGCTCTCGCTCTCTCACTCTTTCTTTCTCTCTTTGTGTTCTCGCTCTCACTCTCACTCTCTCTCTCTCCCACAGATACCCTGTGTTCAGCTAAAAGCTGTTTTAACAGCTTCCCTCGCTCTCTCTCCATCTCTCTCTCACTCTCACTCTCTCACTCTCTCTCTCTCTCTCTCTCTCTCTCTCTCTCTTCCTCTCTTCCTCTCTTCCTTAGGGAGCCTCGAATAATCTCTACCCTTAGTAACTTCTCTATTTATAGCCCGATTTGCTTCAAATTTTTGATACTTGCGATATGAATATAGGCTTAATACTTAAGGCTTACGGTTCTTTTCTAAGGGTGCTACGAAAAATCTCTTCCCTTCCCTCTTAACTGCTCTATTTGTAGTTGGTTGCAATTGAGCATTAGGAATATGGATATACGAAAGGCGTAATACTTAAGGAATATATATAGAAGTAGTACCGCTAATACTTTATATATATTTCTATATCTTTTTAATATACAAAAAAAAAACAAAACAGTTCAAGTTTTTCGAGCTAAATTGTATATTCTTTATATGAGCATACTTAAGGAGAGCCCAAATATGATTTGATTTGATGTATGTCATCCTTATAAACTGCGAGATCTGTCTATAATCCAAATTTAAAGCACCTCAACACGAGTTGTTGCTTCAGGCTTATTCAGATCAGATCTAAACATTAACTAGCTGTTGTCGCAGCTTCACGCCTGTTACATAAACCAGCATACCCTCTTTGACCGTTTGCACTGGGTGCAGGGTATATAAATAAACCAAATGGCTTTCAATGCGCTCCTCCACACACACACACACACACAATCCGAGTACTTCGGGATGTACTCTTCTAGTTACGATAGGGCACAGCAGTCGGGGTTATCTTTGGCTAAATAATTCGACAAAAATAGAATCAACTACGCCCTCATGCACAAGTAGGTATCATATTATTATTGTTATAAGAATGTAACATTTTGTTTCAATTCTAGTTTGGGATTTGTGTAATCAGAATCTTCAGATGGAATAGGATGCATTTTAGTGGATCAGAGAAAACTAGTTGTACCTACGAGATATTTCTACCAAATAGATCGAGGAATTAATGAATACGCCAAGCATATAGATTGGAGTTTAGAGAACCAGAAAATCGGTTCGAATCATATTGCAGCCTGAACCGAAGCATGTTCAAGCTAGCTTCACGAACCGAACCAGGTACTGGACCAGGGACCGAACCGTGAACCAAACCGGGAACCAACCCAGGTACTGAACCGGGAACTAAACCAGGAGCC